CGTAAAAGATGATAATGCTGTTTAGTCGGCATTAGTTCAGTTCGTTAATTGGGGTGAAGTGACAACTGGTTGATTGCTCGGTCGACCGATTGGCGTAAATTTGGATCGGACAATTGCTGACTCCGTTCAGTAGATGACAAGACAACTTGGCGAGTCAGATTGTGGTCTTACACACTTCAGTTGCTGTGGTGGATCGTCCGACATTCAGTGACCCTCCTCCAAGGAATGGCCGTCAGCACAGGCCGTTCAGTGAGTAGTGTTGTATGCATCGTCGATTGTTGTGAGATTCGTTGTGACTGTTTTGTCCTCAGAGAGGGAGAGTTCGTCATGCAGATCATTGGACGACATTCAGGACAATTCCTACAGTGCATTCTTCTTTTTGCAATGGGTCGCATAGAATGAGTCAGATATGGACTCACCGAAAGGTGGTGCTATACAATTTGGAGATCTGATGGCGAGTATTGCAACAGAACCGTATTGGAGCTGTTCACGTCTCACTGCTAGTGTCACTGAACTTAACTTACCTGACAGTGCAGAAATGAAGAATAGGAAAAGTTAACGTTCAAAACATGGCCTATTGTAATCTCCACGGCATCGGGTAGGAAACAAGTGATCAAGATTGAGAGTCGTCTCTCCTGGCCGCTGGTACCATTATAGAAAGCTTATCTATGACCTACCTACACCCTTTATCACCCCGATGCAGTCCAGACAAATGGGTTGCTTATTGTGATGAGCAAGTGGAGAGGTGTGTAGGACGTCAAGAGCGGCGGGAGAGAAGAAAGAGATGGGCGTCGACAGAGTAGAGTGGATTAGAGGTGCAAGCATTCACAGTGCACTACGTAAGGAACTGACGACCCCTGATTGACAACCACCCGATGATGATGACAGTGAATTCGACTTCAAAAGTTGAAAGCACTCCATATTCTTGTTGTGATGGCGCAAAGCACTTTCAGCCCTCCCTGCTGTTAGCCGAGACAACGCAATTGATGGCAAAACCGTGCTGATGGCGAGTGTGACAACAAACTTAGTTGAATGCCCACGTTGGCGGAAAACCAACCGCTGGAAAGTACCCTATGGGACGGCTGAACAGTCTCATCTGCGAGCTGCGCAACAGGAGAGTAGTTGATGACGCAATGCTACTACCAGGTTGGGTGGGGGGAAGGAGAGGAGGATAAAACCACACCCGATTTTAAAGAAAGTTTTGTCTTTGAAACAAAAATTTTCCTGTTGGAATTGGATCAGAGTGCACCATTGTTGGACTGGGGACAAGGGCAGAGTTTGGTTCAAAAGTGATGCCTAGAAGCATCAGAAGAGTGGAGACGATGATTTGCCATGCCGAGTTGAAGAGATATTGGTTCGCTCTCAAAAGGGACAATTCGGGAGTTGGCTTAGTTAAGCCCCAACTTTGAACCCCATAGTAAGCTGGGTTGATTAAGAATGAATGGAGGATGGAGAAGCGAAGAACACACAGTCTCTTTAAATGGTCCAGATCCTAGCTGGATAAAAAGTTACACCAAGATTGCAACTTCATTCTTCTCTAAGCAGGATCTTCGTTTCTGTACTTTCTGCTACCTTTCTTTTATATTGAACCCTCATTTCACTGTGCTGGTTGGTTCTGGAGGATGTAACGCGAGTTTGCCCTCTGCTTTACGCGTCCACCTTAAATCCACATCAGCATTGAAACCGTCAGACCAAGAACGACAAGCTGAGGGAAATGAAGGCATATAATTAGATTCTCACTCAGAAGACAAGAGGCAAAAAATTGTTTTAGAGACAGACAGACAGATTAAGACATTCACACCCAACAAGACCAGAGAGGGAAAGACCAGAACATGTCAGAGAGAATAAAGAGATAGAGACGGCTAGACGGAGGATGAGACGGTCAGTTTCTTCAGGTGGTCCATGAAGCCTTGTAATGACACGTCGTCCGTCAACACTGCGAATGCAGATGAGTCCTGCAAGGTGGGAGGAGTTAATAGCGGCTTAACACATACTATTTCAGGGTTCGGGGCCAAAGATGACCTACCTGTCCGTAGGCGAACATGCTGCTGTGCGTCTGTGAGGGGTTGACCTTGGAGAGAAGAAAGCGAGCTTGACTGGCCCCGTGCTCCGTGTCAATGTAGCGTGGGGTGGGAAAACGCGAGCGCAGTATGTCCCTCGCCTCCGCTCGAGGTTTCTCTATCACGGCCTGCAGGTACGCATACTCAGGCATCTCCTGGACAACACAACATCAACAGGAAATAAAGTAATAGAAGGAGTGGGCAGAAATTGATATATACCCTTTCGAGAGGTCCTCTACAGATTGCTTGGTGGTGAAAATTACAACCCACATACTACTTGGCCCATCAGCATGAATGCTAAAGAGTCTGGACCATTCACGGTGCAGAACTCGCTTAGGCTAAAAATGACCTTCATAGGAAAGCCTGAGATCTACCCTTGCTGAGTTGCTGGGGGCTAAATTCAGTCGAGCTTGAAGTTAATAGCAACAGTAGACATAAAAATGTAAGTCACCTAACCTCATAGACTCCAAGAGAGAACAAGAATGAGAGGTGAGGAGGATGTGCGAGGTGGGTTCCTTCTAGCCCTTCAGCTCTCCCAACGATTCAAAAATAACTAAATATCGTGAACACCTTCAAGGGTGCTCAGAGCGTTTCAGAAGACACACACTAGTTTACCAGTCACCCACACTAGAGAGAACTGAAAAGAATGAGGAGCAAAGTAGAAGAAAGTCATGGTATCGGCCCTTAAGGACTTCTACGAATTCAGTCGTCCAGGGCTTCTCGGAAGCAGAGATAACTCAGGCAATTCAATTAGTAGGCACCAGCACATTATGTACGTCGACAGATACTCATCCAGTTGAATGGTGGATTTTAGAATAAAAGGCCTTTCATTAATTCAGGTAGACCTGAACTTATAGATAGAAGGCATCCCAAAACTCGCGATAAAGCGGACAAAGAAACATAGGGAGGAGACATACGAGAAAACCAGCCTTGCGCCACTTGGCAATATTTTCGCCTACGTAAATGAGAATGTGGAAGAAAGAGTCCATGAGGAGAACGGTGTCTGGCTGGATGCTGGTGGAGTCGAGCAGCACCGCCTCGTCCGTGCCGTCCAGCCTAAAGGCAATCAGTGAGGGCTGGATCATCAGGAGGGCGTTTGAGCAGTCCTCCGTGTTCAGTACATGCCTACATGATGAGAAGAAATGAAAAGTACGGTCATTTCTATACTCCCCTTCTTCATTTATCTGTAAGAAGTAACTGAAATTCTCAAAAATTTAATGATCGTGAAATTTGAATTTGAATAAACTAACATCTAATGCCTGTCTTGTCTAATTCAAATTACTTCCAGACTGTGAAGTAACCGTAACTCAATGGAAGATGAAAGATTAAACGCACCGATAATAGGCAGTCTCATCAGGACTGTTGTTAAAGACCTGGATGAAAGAGGAACGTCGAAGGTGGAACATGAACTGGGGGTAAAAGGAAAACTCGTCGGGCAGACGGAAGGAGGCGGCATCGTCCTTGTGATACTCGCCAAATTTGCGGCACAGCTTGATCAATTGGCGATCCAGCCACCTGCACACAAAGGCAAAACCAGGAAGAGAGAAGAAAGACGCGACTAGCATCATGGCATGGCCACTGTTATCTAACCAAAGAAAGGCCTGCAGTTTACCCCAACACATCTCAGTGAATGTGAAGGCCATCAGTATGTAACACAATCTTCGAAACACTCGTAAATTCAAACAGTCTTTGAAGGATCTTAGATGAGCCAATATGTTGAATACTCCTTTTAATCACGAGATACGGTGTGCGAGGTACTGTTTTGCTAATTGGACTGTGCAACTGCTCTGTTGAATAGGTGGCATAGGTTCAAAGTGTGTACAACTGGCTACTTTAGGGAATGATTCTCGCATAACTCTAGATAGCATGTGGACTTTCAAACCAAACATCTAGACAAGAATAGGATACTTCCTGCTGATTAACCGCAGAAAATACCTTAATGCATCTCGCCCATCCGACGTCTCCGCTTTGAACATGGCCATCCGAGTAATAAGCACAGCCGCCGCCTCCTGATCAAAGCCCGCCACCAGGTAGGCGTGCTGACTCGTAGCGTCGATACACTGTCGACACGCTGTGGTCACTCGGATTCGACGCTGGCCTGATGCGTACTGGTACTGCGTCACCAGCTGCACATACGCTCGACCGCCACTATTAATCATCGCTGCCGCCTGTCCATGGGCCTGTGTGACCTCGAAAAAGATGCCCAAGGTAGAGGAAGGTGTGAGGCCGTTTAGACGCCATATTGAAGTGTGCCCGATGCCCACCTCGCTCTCTGCGGTGCTGGGAGTCTTGACGTTGGCAGAGAAGCAGCTACCGATGCAACCGGATACCTTGAGTTCGCGGGAGGTCTGTTAAAGAGATGGCAGGATTAAGTCGGGGCAAAGAGTATTAAGTGTGTAGCCGACTAACGGTAAATCCATGGAAATCTATGAGATGTAAAAGCCAATAAAAGAACTTTGAAATTGTGCAATTTCATCCGTTGAAGTGAAATGAAAGGAGAGAAATGGGAACTTAGGTAGAAAATGACTGACCTTGACCTCTAACTGCCCATTAAAGCCCATTTTGAAGTGTCCATGGACATCCTTACGGAGGAAGATTTGAAAACTCTGGATGAAGAGATTGGAGGCAAAGGAGTCACACATGGTCATGCTGCCGCCGGTGTAGTTGACTAGGTAGCGCATCTCGTGCAGACCTGTCTGGTCCAGGTGGCTGCTAAAGATATCCACCACGTGCCCGTTCTGAGCCGCCCGATTAGCCAGACCCTCGTAGTGCTATAAGTAGACAGACAGAAACAATCTATCATGATAATTGTATGCAGTGCGGACCATGGGAAAAACAGACAAGAGTACCCTACGCCTCCACTTTTATCGCTAAACTAAGCAGGATTATTTCAATTTCAATGCAAATGCAAGTGAGTCTAGTTATTTTCACACTTCTTTCCTACGCCTCATTTCCTGCCCTAGGGAAGGTAGAAGTTAGGTGGATCCGAGACTTCCTAACTATAAAAGCCGCCTCGTCTCAACCAATACTTTTGTTGCCACTGTTCGACACTCACCATGCAAAGACCGAAACCATTCAACGAAACTCCTATTTACAGGTGCTTAGGAGGGGGAGGAGGGAAAGTGGGGAGGATAATGTGAGCCACAAACACCACGCCAAATGCTCCAGTTGGAAGCACGCGACTCTGTGAACACTTTCTTTGCCTCAATGACACCTGGGTCATGATAAATGGATTTCGCGCGAACCTCGTTATTGAATCCGTACTTCGCATAGGTGCGACTCGTTGCACGATAGAAGGAGTGAAGCGTTTCATCATGCAAGTGCTAACTGCCAACTACTAGGCAAATACCCTTGCGGTACCGGATAAATGCCTGGCTGATTTTGCAACATCTATCCAATAAATCTCCGTGCTCCTCATTAGTTGTTCATCTGCCAATCAGGGCGTTAATACTCAGCTTACCATTGGGTAAGTCGCGAGGCGATCGCGTCCCACTGATAGAGGAGACAAACTGCAGCGCCTCCCATAAGCACTTCGCCTCGATATCGCCAGTCTGCGCTGCTGGGTCCGATATCAAGCCTTCAGACCAACTCAAGCCGCCCATTGGGGAAAGGTACAAACAAAGTGAAAAATGCTTTCATCTCAACCACTACCGCAATGGGGAAGAACAATGGTCAAAGACAGGAGAGGACCATGGGACGTATTACTTCACCACTTTATCACATACTTAGTAGTCTCAGAAGGACAGAGATTAGACTCAAAGAAATTTTAGATAAAAGAGCAATATACTACAAATCTGATGATGCTGTAGAAACCAAGACTGCTCGCGTCCTGACGCCTTCAAATAACCCCACCCCGAAACATTAAATGAAGTGCAAAACAGGAGTATTAAGCATTGCATAAAGTTTTTCTTTGAAAAATAAGAGATGGAGCATCCCACTCACTCTAATAGCCTTTCGCATATAGGGGCAATTATCCTTTTCCACATCATGATGCGAACGAATGATGTTCTTCAGATCATCATCGATTATCATGCCAGGTCCCTGAGTGGCAGGCCCCCCAAGAAAGAAGAGAATACGGGCGCCAGTGTTGGGAAAAGCCGCCTCCAACAGGCCTACAGCGATGGAGACCGCAGCACCGCATGAGCGCAAAGCCCGCCGCCCCTGCAGCACTGGCCAGGGATCCGGTGCCAGCTCCGATAACAGAGTATTCAGCGAGGCGGAGCAACACTCCACTGCCTGAAGAAATCTTTAACGAAAAGAGACGAAAAAACACTTTATATAAATGAATCGCAACGATTTCCCTGTACCCATTCCCCTTTGGATGTAGCAAAAATTTAGTGATAGCCCAATGCCGTTTCCGTTGAACAATAAAAAATTGGAATCACATCCTCTCAACGGTAATCGACACAGATTGAGACTAACAATCTGAATTGATGGAAAAATCACCTGAAGCGCTAAATTAATAGAAGCGCCTTAAAACAAGACTTTCTAGCAAAATTTTTTAAACATCAGCACTAAGCCGCATGAATACGCGACGGAGGGACATCATCAATGACGTGGGGGAAGATAAGCGATGAAGAGCCGCCGATCATTCTTCCTTTGATAACGCGATGATTTTCATATTCCTTTCTTCTTCGATTACTGTAGCGAAGGTTAGAAATTAATCCATTTAAATTAGTTCTTTGAAAGCCATTTGAGGAGAACCAGTTCTTCTAGCACAGAAGTATCGTTGAGATGAAGACTGTACACTGGTTATGCATTATTTTGATCATTCTGCGCGTTCCTCTAGTCTTCCGAGTAAAATACCACTTTTTGCATCGTTAAGCGCATTTGCAACGGTATAAAACTTTAAAACATGAAACCCTCGGAAGACGGGAGCACATAGACAATGATGAGTAGATGAACGAATAAAGAATAGAATTAGATGAAAGACCGATAAAGACATACCTGTTTTGCGGAAGACCACCAGGCGTAACTTGAGTTGCAGGTGGACCGGTATTTCGGCCGGGGACTCCGCTTCTGCCCAGCCCTAGCATCCCCTTCAAAGAAGTGAGCAGAATAATAACTTATCAGGTTGATTCAGTAAGCCCGTTAAGAATCGGTTATTCTACCAAAAAGTGAGGTTAATTCAATGTTAGAAAGCGCAAAAAAGGAAAGGGGAAGGGCTGGCAACACCAGGGCCTCTAACTTACGCAGATATTCTATAAGTGGGGTTAACAGTAAAGAAAGAAACATCCAAAGATTAGAGAGAATAATAGCATAAATTAACAGGGTAAATAAGAACACACTTGAATCTGATCGCCGGTGTAGTCTTTTGTACCCTTAAACACCCAAGACTTGGCGATAGAACCACTGTTCAACTCGTGAATGTGGACCATACGTCCGAAGGTGATTAATCCAATCATGCAGTTGGGTGGCAGCGTGGCAAAGAGCTGCTGGATTGCATTCTAAAAAGAAAGATAAGAGGGTTTGGGAGTTTACTTTTAAAGCATTGAATTCAGCTTCCTCGAGGCAAGTATCCATGACAACGAGGAACACTGGTGGCGGTGCTGGCGCTTTCTAAAAAAAAGATATAAATATAACAAGTAAATTTACAACATGGGATCATAGCTAGTCTCGAAAACAATTTACCGTTATGGTATACTCAATCGTAGTGAATTGAGGCATAAGTTCAGCGGGTAGGTTTTGTTCCGTCATTCCAGCGTATTGTGAAGGAAAAGTATTCCTCGATGAGCACAGGCAGCAGTTCCAACATTTGGAACGGATATCAACCTAGGTAAACAAAATGATTATTTAAGCTGAAAATTCAACAAATATACACCCAAGACACCCACCTGACAAAAAGGATTGAGAATTCCACGGCATCGGGTGCAAACGACAGGATCGTACATGAGGGGAGGAAGATTTTCACGTTCCTTCATAGGGGTGTAGAGACACGAGATGGGAACAACAAGTTGGGCAGCTTCAAGACGTGACGCGGGCCACGTATTCCATGAAAACCGAATGCCATCACTAGCTTCTGTCTGCTGAATGTACTCGCTCATCGACGCCATGGTAGACTAAGCGGCGACTAAAAACAGGTGAGCCAGGTACGTCTACAATTAAGGAAATAACAGAAAATAGGCAAGGAACATCACAAACGAATCACGGACTCAAGAAAGACAACGTCTCTGATTACCAAAATACTTTTACATGAACCCGAGAAGCACAAAAACCTACGTGTCCGCAAAATCAACGACTACCAACGCAATGAGTTTTGTGTGGCGCAAACGGCAACAAGATTCCTTAAAACAAAAAGAGAAAAAATGATTGAATTTTTTACAGAATACTAATTTAGGGCAAACTGGTACTAGTATCTCGTGTCATGCTACCTTATAGACGTGGCAGCCCGAAACGCTTACGCAAATGTGAACTGTAGTAAAAACCTAAGCAAATCTGTTTAAAAACTTTGTTTAATTTTGTTAGTTTTTGAAAGGGTATAGCATTAGCAGCATGTCCTTTTTCTGCTTTCAACAGTCACAATAGCAGCATTTACTCTCAGCTATTTTTATGCATGTTTAACAATAAAGAATTTATAGACTGAAGGCATTTTGTCTGCTCCCTATGGTTTTGTTTACATGCCTTGATGCCTAGTTGCGACGTGTTAGCGCCTTCCCTGTTTTCGAATCCCATTCTATCTGTCTGGCGGGTGGGGTTCCGGCGACCGTTTCCTAGGAATTGATGCGTTTTCCTATGAACGAGATGCTTTCCTGCACCTTACTTATTACGCCTTGACCTTATTGATATAGTAGAGTCGTTGATCGGTACCGGTAATATACTCATTTTTTTATTAACCTACCTCTCAAGGGTTAGGAATGTCAGCGCAGCAGACCCCCTCTCTTCCGTCAATCAAACGACAAAACAAAGCGTTAAGAAGGAGTTGGTCTAACAAGAATACATTAAACATATCCAGAAAAGTCCTAGAGAAGTCAGGTAATTCAACCCGATTCCTTCTGAATCGTAACTCTCTTCAGTCATTCAGCAGAACAAACACATTGAATCAATCCAGCAAAACAATATTCAACTTGCCAGGAAGGTCTCTGAACTCCAAAAAGAGCTCAGTGAAAGGAATGCTGAACTTCAGGTTTCTCGTGAAGAAACCTTTCAATTGCAGATGAAGCTCAATCGACTGCAGAATAATAGTGCTGAGGTGAGAGAGATATTTTAACTTTGTAGTTTGCTGCTCTAGTCTACTCTGTACGCTCTTCGTGAAAAATTGGCTTCAATGACCGGAGAAATGTTTAGAGCCCATGAACTTGCTTCCAGGATCTGCAGCGAACTCGCGTTGCCACAGGCCTCACCGTTTCCTGGAAGTACACCGTTTTCGCGTAGATCGAATGATTCTATGCCCATGACGTCTTCTGTGTGGGTTCTTGATTTTCGTTAATTTTATCTGCCTTTGTGATTGAGTGATGACTACGTGCATCGGCTTCCCTTTTAGCACCGTTCTACCAGGCGAGGACGAGGGTGTAAGGCGCTCCAATGATGCGACTCTCCGACCTAGTGCGCAGTCTGTAGAGATGGAGTTTGATTCGTTCGGTCTCGTGTCCAACTCCGTTAGTTACCTCTACACTAAAATTGAGCCTGAAGCGTTCCCAATAGATGCGTAGTTTGTACCACCGTTAAATTGGAAGGCTGTCAGACTTCATGGTTTTGGTATTAACCAGCTAAAGACTGCTAAAATGTCTCGATATTGTTTCATTTTCTCTAGGTTGTAACCATTCTGTCGAGGGGAAGTCCACTTGAATCTACTTTACCAGTAAGCGCATTGTTGGTGGGAAAAGTGCTTGTTTGTATGGCCATTTCCTCGAACGGTTGCACTTTTTACGATACAGATGATTGAGATTATATTTTGCCCCGCTGGTATTTCAATTTCCACAGTGGTAAAAATATTTCTATGCGAACCAGAAGTTGCCTGGGGGACTTGACTTCTACCCACAACTGCCAGCTGGTAATTCGCATGCACTTTTCTCATTTAGTCTGTAGGTTATCCTGCGGGCAGGGAAACAATGGTTCTGCCTCCGGGTAACGAGGAAGCTGCCGCGGGTAATCCGCCCACTCCCTTCCAAACTAGAGAGTCAGCTCCACCCACTCCTCTTCAAACTATGAAGTCATCTCCATCCAAACAATCCATCCCTTCGTGTCCCAACGATGGTGGCGAGGACTACGTGCCCGGCCCCAAGCTTAAGCGTAAGAGGGTTGCAGCCACCAAAAAGGTTGAAAAAGCCACCGGGGCTGCTGATATCTCCTCTGTAGCCGAACCCGCTGAATCGGACTCTTCAAAAGCTGCCGTTTTTCACCATCTGCCTTTCAATCACCAGCCTACGGAATCTCATCTGCTGACAGCGTGTGTTCTGTACGTCTACAGTGGTAGCGCCGATTTTACTTATTTTATTTCAGTAAAAATGTGACAGGCCTGCTTCTGCCATCACCCTAGAACGACTGTTCCTCTAAATCAGCCAGAGATGGACTTGAAACAAGGTGGGAAAAATGAAGAGGAAGTAGGGGAAGCCGAGCCACCAGAGCCGAAGAATCCACCAAGACGGCAGTCTAAAAGGAGAAGGAAACGCCTCCGACTGATCACAGATGACTCTGTTTTCATTCCCATAACTGACTCCATGATGGAAGATGCGGTAGCCGGGAATAGGAATATTGAAAAGCCGGAACAAAAGGGTAAAGAGGTTGGAGAGAATGTGGAGGTGGGTATCATTGTTTTCCTCACCTGAAAGGCAGTGGTTGGATAATTTTTCTCTCGATTTCAGGTGAATCAGGTTAACCGTTAATGGGCCACTTTTTGTTGAACTGTATTGCCTACTTTGTCAAGACATTTCATTTCCCAATCTCACATGTCCCGTAATAGATTCAAAAGTCACCAGAAAGTTCTATCCTCGGATAGTGCACGAGGATTTAGAAGCCGCGGTGGCACCTTATTTAATTATTAGCCAGGAAATTAGCGTGCTCTTCTATTATCGTATTCTTTTAATTTACTGTCATAATGAGACCGCGTCTAACAAAAAAAATTTGCAGTAGTCTAGGTAATGGGCAATGAAAAAGGACTGGGAACATTGAATATTTTGTCCTCTTCCACTTTACCAAGATCTTATCCTAGAAGTCGCACATAATTTGTCGTACCACAGCGCCAGGTAGATCGGAGAAGACATTTAGAAGCAAATTTAGGAGTGAAAAAGGTCAC